TGTGTGTGTGTGTGTGTGTGTGTGTGTGTGTGTGTGTGTGTGTGTGTTTCAGTAGTGTGGACAGTCCCAGCAGAGAAGATGAGGAGCACAAACTGATCGCCCGCTACACCTCCCGCCTGGCAGAGACTGACGGCGCAGGAGTGAGTCAACAACACCTTGTTTTTAAACTGCAAATATACCATAAATACACAATCAGGTACTTCTGTGTTACATATACACAGAGCTCCGTCGCCCTCCACCTTCTTTCGATTGTTAAACGATGAACGGTCGACCCACACTCAGTCAGCTCAAGTACTGTAACTTAAGTTCTGTGTGTGTTTTTTTTCAGGTGATACCGAACCGGAGCATCAACTTTGATGTGAACAAACAGAAGAGGGAGCTCATTGCTCAGCTGGAAAGCAAAAACAGGTAATGCATGAGTTATTGATTTTGATTCATTCCTTTTTAGTTTGACCCACGTCTGTCACTTTGTAGCTGTACTTGTGATACACATTTGTGTGTACAGAGCCCAGTTTTACCCAATGTTTAAAAAAATCACTGGTCTTATTTTGGGAATAAATCTGAGAGATTATGCAGTTTATCAGTGCTGTTTCACTGTTTGACACAATAATTCAAGGCAAACATTTTGAGGTAGACTTGATGAAAGCGTGTAAGTTTTTTTACCCCTGCACTAATTGACTATCAGTGAATAAGTCTTTTTTAAAGCACGTTTCCTTCATGTCTTCAATATGCATTTTATGTGTTAATATGTGTTTCCAAAATGCAGCTGCTTGTCACATTTAAAGTATATTCTGTAAATCCAACATGTACATTCCTCCTTATAATCTGCAACAGCCTGCAGAAGTGCGAGTGCGTATTCTCGCCCCGTCTTTCCACAGTCTGTCCGGTGATGTAACGCTCCCCCAGCCTGAGCTGACCGGTGTGTTTTTCATTTCTCAGAGAGATCTTGGCGGAGATCAAACATCTCCGTGTAGAGCACGAGGCAGCGTGCCAGGCCACCACCAACCCGACTCTGCTGGCCGAGCTTCGGCTGCTCAGGTAAACACACCGCTGCTGCACACGCGCACATAACGGTATAACAGTTATTAGTTGTTGTTCTTATGACATACCAACAGAAATGATGCTCAAACATCAACAATCAAAGTTTACCCGCCCCTGCGTTTTATTTGCTACATAGAGTGCCACAGTGTCCGATTTGGCGGGAAATCTGTCACGTTGCTTTGCAGCACGGAGGGAGAGTGCTTTATGGCAGATGGTGGTGACAGATGGTGGATTTTTGTGAAAAGCCAATGTAAAAATCACCTCCAACATGTTTATGCTAGTTTGGTGAAAAACAAAAACCCCAAGGGAGAGGAGGGAGACTTTATACGAAGCAAAAACTGGAGAGAGAGAGCGTTGCAGTAATGATGACGGGAGGATACTGATGGTGCTGCACAGAGCAGATTTTTATGTGATCATAGCATCTTTGAACTTATTCTGACTTGAAGAATGAGACAATCTCTGTGATGCTGATGGGAGCAGTGTGCATTGCCGTCAGTGTCTTCTTGGATATGGCCACTCAGGGGCGCCACATTCAAAAGTAGTCACACTCTCGACATAGTGGCTTTAAGTTGTGCAAATGACAATATGTACCCTTTACTTCCTTTGTAAGAGGTTTTGAGGAGGATATTCAAAATATACTGTGATGAATGTAGCCTTTTTCTGGCTTTGGACTTAATTATATAAATGCGCAGTGAAAACTGCAACAACCTTAATGACACACATTAGCTAATACCCATAATTCAAGGTGATAATCTGTGAAGGGCACACTCATTTTGCACCCTGAAATGAACTCTCCCGTCCCTCTTCACATCCCGACAGTGGATACTGCAATTATTCGTCCAATGCGTTTACATTTGAGTCATTATCAGTAATATTGCTATCTGGAGTTGTACCAATGCTGTCCCCGTTGCCAAATCACTTCCTTGCATGCCACATGATATCAGTATGAAGTTTCCACCACATTTCTTGTGTTATATTTGTTGAAATGATCTGTACATCCTGACAGCAATCAATAAATATGAATAATAAAAACTCCAATAAGCATGTGCAATCATTGGTGTTGCCAACGTGGCGACTTTCTCGCTAGATTTAGTGACTATTGGAGCTAGTTTCTGCTAACTACTGTCATCGAAAAGAGTTGGCAACACTGGACAGTTTGATAGTTTTTAAAATCTAGCGAACTCTTACTAGTTTCTCAAGATTACCAAATCCAGATTCAAAGCAGCATTGTGTAGGATTAAGTTTCCATTGGTGTATAATCATCTGCGACTAAGAAACATTGTATTTTTGTTACATTAGAATGAGCCATTAATATCTACGCGGTCCGCCATGTTGCACCGCCATGTTTCTACAGTAGCCCAGAGCGGACAAACCAAACCAAACTCTAGAGAGAGCCTTAAGGTACCCGAAGGCACTACAGATGCCACTAAATCCTACACACTGCTCCTTTAAGGAGTTTTTTGTTTTCTTTCTTTCAGCACAGATTCAGGACACGACGCCATTAATGAAAAACTCCTTAAATCATACGGATAAAGTGGTTATTTGGAACGTCCACTTCTGAAGCTTTACTTTGGGATTATAATGACTCAAATGTGGAGTTGCTGCATGACTCAGACTCTTCCTTTTTTTCTGTTTATTTACTCATGTGTCCTAACATGTGAAGTGAAGCCAACAGGGGAAGAGAAGAGTTGTCACTCCTGCTTTAATGTCCAATCCAGACCACATGCTGTTTGGAAAAAAAGATTGTAAACATCTCATTGGAACGATGCTAGTTTTGTATGCTGACTCTTAAATCTTCATTTCGCTGCCAACTCACTGTTTTTATAATTTTAATGCATCTTGGATTTAATTTGTACTCGGTGGTCTACACTAGAGCGTTCTAAGCAGTATCAAGTCAATGATGGCCATACCTGCTGCTTCTGCCGTCTGAAAACTCGTCATCATACATCAGACTTCATTGTGAATTCATGATGTCAAAGTTTGGTTTCAAGGTCTTGTGGTCCGTCTCGGAGGCTCATGATGTTCTGATGTTCCGGTCAGCTAGCTCTTTCACAGCTCATCTCCACCGAGTCTCCTCTTGCAAACCTGGAACAAATGATCACCCGCAAAAAAAACAATCAAGGATATTGTGTTCCTTCGATTTCCAAACATCCGTGTTTCCGTGTGATTGTTCTACGGTTTGCGTTTTTCCTCTGGCAAAGCTCTCACCTCGCTTCAAGGATGATCTTGTGCTCAGAAAGCCTCCTTGAGTTAGAGGAGTCTCTTATTTCGCTAACCAGGTGACTGAACAACTGACAGCACAAGTGATGAGTTTTGGCAGTTTCCTAACTTAGTTTTATCCACTCATAAACCTCATTCTACCAACCTGAGCAGCCTGGACTGGAGTGTGTTAGGGCCTCCCTACATATACGCCAGATCTTTTGATTTGGCTAACGGAGATTGATACAGTTTATGTGGCCGAGTGCAAATTCATTTCTACCAAATCAGATCCGGAGATGTCTGACAGGAAAAGTGTAAATGGGGCCGGTGAGTCTTCTCTCAGAGCTCTGAGTGTGTTCAGCATTCTGTCTCATTGCCTTTCTGAACCACGTACCTTTTGTAACCTCAAATTATTTCATTTCAACGGTGTCTTCCGCCTCCCGTGAGTCCTTGCACTCTGGTTCTTTTGTTGCGGCCTCCTGACAGTAATGGAGGGTTGTTGTGTGTTGCAGACAAAGGAAAGACGAGCTGGAGCAGAGGATGTCGTCTCTGCAAGAGAGCAGGAGGGAGCTGATGGTGCAGCTCGAGGGACTGATGAAGCTGCTCAAGGTGACGCACGCGCAAAGACACATGCACACTTTCTTTATTGTCCCACACTAGCAAAGTTTCTCTTTTTCGTTACACCTCCCTGTGTCTGTCCTCCCAGTAACAAGCCTCGCTTTTTTTCCCCTCTGCTATTTCCTCCTTAATAATTCCACCTTTTTCCAGCTCTGAGTGTATCTGACTTCTTCTTTTCCATCCTTTTCCTCCCTGTTTTCTTTCCAATTGCCCACGTTGTGGCCCTGTAGGATGAGGAACAGCGACAGGCAGTAAGTTTACCCACCCTCCCCCCTCCTATTACTCATGGCACTGTAAATGTAGGATGCCAAAATAAGTCAACTTGACAAGCAATCTACATTTTTCCAATCGGGATATAAATATCCTGGATAAATAAGGGATCACCCTTTTCCCAGCGGTTGCCAGAACTTGTACTACAGTGTGGAGGTGACGTCAGCTGTAACAGAAATGACAAGATGTTTCTAAAAGCCATAAGTGATTCTATGCAACAACCCTTATGAATCCATCTCTTAGGCGCAGGCGGCTGGCTCTTCTCACGCCTCTCCTTCTCGACCGAGCCCGTCAACCGTCCGCTCTGTAGGCGCTGCGTCTCCCCACGCTCACATGTACCCTCCCCAGGACTCACTCGCTGGGGTTGGTGGTGACGTACAAGAAGCATTCGCCCAGGGTAAGTCTGGAGCTTAAAGCAGGGTAAACAAAATATATCCATAAAGTAATTATTGTTTTTATGGTCTTACACACAAAGTTAAATACACATCTTGTGGCTTTGTTTTCGTTAAAGCTCTGAGACGAAATACAATATGTAAACCATAATTTTTTCGGACCTCTTCCAGACACACAGGAGACGTTTCTAGGATTTAGTCCTGATTTCCTGATCTAACAGGTTTACGTGTCGTCAAGTGGTTTATGACACAAGCTGCAGGTTTTACAGTTACCTGTTAATAAGGTGAAACTGATCTGGAACACTGGCTGGAAACTATGGTGTGAATCTATTCTTTGTACTGTGGCGTACAATATTGGATGACTGTTGTTTTCTTATACTCGCATCTGTCAATCGCAGGCCCGAGAAGGAACCTGAGGAACGACCTTCTGGTAGCAGCTGACTCCATCACCAACACTGTGTCTTCACTGGTCAAAGAGCTCCACTCTGGTATGCACAAACATATACTGTATATATATATATATATATATATATATATATATACATAGACATGCACACACTTCCATAGAATCCTGCAGATGCTCTTTTCACATCTTTGAAGCTTCCAAATGATCACCTGCTTTCAGTTCTGGGTACAAAACTGGTCAAGAACTACAAGAAGTCTCGTTTTTTTGAATGCTTTCTTTATAAGATCTAATAATCTTTAGAAAGTAATTACATTTTGGTTTGACGCATGTTCATAATGTTTATCCTCTTTTCTGACCAGATGAGGTTCGGGAGGAAGAGGAGAGATTGCTGAACGGGAAGGACAGAGGTAAGTTAATCTCTTTGGTCTCTCATGTTAATCCTCTCTTTGCTCGCTCTGCTTGTTAAACAGAACTTCACATGAACATAAACTGCTTAATCTTTGCACTGGGACTAAGATGCTAGTAATTAGTGTTTTAAATGATTAACTTTATCACGCAAAACCAACACTAAATAATAACATAACATAAATTAATCTGAATAACAAATGAATACAAAATAAAGGCCACAATGCTCCACGCTTCCTTACGAGGGTTTTTCTGACAGTTTTCACGTAAGAGGTGGTAAGAACTGGTGAGATTATAATAACTGAAATCATCTTGTAACAACTCCGTTACAATTAAAAGTCCTGCATTCAAAATGCTTCTTGAGTAAAGGAAGAAACAAATGCAGATTGGCACTTTTCAGCGTGTTGAATTATGTTGCCCCTAAGGTCTTTAAAGATAATGTGTGCTCAGGTTATCTTATGACGCCGTTGGTTTTGTTGCAGGATGAGTTATAACTTTATCTTATTGGTGGCCTCATGTAAACCATGAGCAGGTGTCACTAGCCACCTAAATGAAGACACCTGTGTGAGTATAGAGTGCTTTTAATCTATAATGATGCCCCGCATTTCATAAACGGGAGTAGAATTTAAAGTGCCAAATACTGGAAATACTCAAGTAAAGTACATCTAACTAAAAAATGTACAATACTTGAATAAACGTCTAATACTACTGTCAAAAGACATGAGGTTCCTCTGTGGGGGTAAACAGCTGCTTAATGCAGAGTGAAGCAGCTTTCATTGCAGATTTTACAAAACATCTGTCAGAAAATATTAAGAGGAATTTATCAGAATATAATATAATACAGAGAAACCTCAATAATAGGTGGAATACATCAGTTAGCTCATTTTATGAAATACATCAATATTCTGTATTAAATAACACCTTTTATTTAGTTTCTTTTTTTGGGGAGACAATGGCGCTGAATCTTATTTTTCTCTCACACACATAGAGGTCGCATTTGTATTTGCGTCCTCTCCTGCTTGTCTTTTCGTGTCCGTGCGGCCACGTGCGCAGTCTCTACACGTCTCCACTTATTCTCCAGGTGCTCTCTCTCTCTCTCTCTCTCTCCCTCTCTCTCTCTCCCTCTCTCTCTCTCTCTCGTCTGTACTGCAGCAAGCTTCATTAACACGCCGTCTCATTAGCCTTGCTTTATGGAGCCCCTCCTCTTTACAAGAGGACCGCCTGCAGAGCTGAAGCGGGGAAATTACTTCCTGGTCTGCTCCCTGAGCCCAGACTAAACGCTTATAAGAATACTTACCTGCAGTACTAACACGCCGAACCCCCGAACAGCCAGACAGACAGTTCAGCCCCTCGTTCAACACAGTTAAGTCTTAAAGTGTAAAGATAAAATACTGTGTTAGACTGTCCACAATAACAGTTTTCTTTGTGGAGTTAGTCAGTTTGTGTAGCACCTGCCAAGTACAGCCCTGTTTTATGTTTCTATGCTAAGTGCTGCTCTGGTTCTTATTACAGCTTCTGGCATAAAACCTGTATCACTTGATTGAGCTTCACGTTGCTTTATCCTCTGCTAATGGCTAACAAACTTTCTTTCTCTCTTCAGCAGGTTAACGTGATCACAGGACAAACAAAAACAGTAAGTGATTCAATGTAATCAACCTTTCTTTTAATAACAACATGATGATCAAAACTTAGTTTCTTGTACAGCACAACAAAAATAACTTTAGTTAGTTTTCAATGCACTGGGATTTTGTCATCACACTGTACATTTAAAGGTTCAAACTAGCTACAAACTCAAATTTGCTGAAGTGCACCAGATAACAAACATATAATAGCTTATATATAACTTATAATTATTTTCTGCTTAACAACAAAAGGCTGCAATCGTGTCATGGGAAAAACTGAACGAGTGATTTGATGACTCAAAGCAACAACTTGTTTGAACAGGACAACAAACCGCCGGGTTTAGAAGCACTTTGTGATGTTTTATTTGAGTTCATACAGAGAGAAAAATCAAACACGTAGTTGTTTCCTACATTTAGAAAAACTCTTCTTATTTAGTTTTTTCTATTCGAAATGTAAAATTATTTTCTTTTTTAGAAGACATATTTTTGTGTCATAAATCTAAAAACGTAATCTGTCAAAACTAATTAAATTGAAATGATATGATGATGTTTTCATGTGGCATTTACCTTTTTGATTTTGGAAATATGCTTATTTGCTTTCTTCCCAAGATGTGAAGACTGATACCACTTTCATGTCTGTACAAAAAATACGAAGCCACAGCCAGCAGCCATTTAGCTTAGCTTAGCTTAGCATGAAGACCGGAAACGGGGGAAACAGCTAGTCTGGGTCTAACATGCACACCTCTAAAGCGAGGTTAAGGTATGCGTACGGATACATGGCCAATAAAGCTGATTCTGATTTCCCTCTGCCTCCAGTCTTTATGCTAAGCTAAGCTATGCTAACCAGCTGCTGGCTTCAGCTTCATAGTTCCCAGACAAACATTGGGAGTATTGTCAAGCTAATGCTCGAGAAGAAAACAAACAAGTGCGTTTCGCCCAAAATGTCGAGCTGCTCCTTGAACTTCTGATTGGTTATCTGACGGTTCTGTCGCTCTCTCCTCAGGCAGAGGTTCCATACCAAAGAAGGCTGAGCCTGCTGAGATGGAAATGTATCTTCTTGTATTAATCGTTAGCCAACGGGGATTAGAGCTCCAGTGCTAGTCAACCAATCACGATGCTGGACACCAAACGACCGCCGGGTCCCTACTGATGTATAGCTGTGATTCTGTGTGTGTGTATGTGTGTCTTGTCACTGTGGTTTGACTTTTGTTTTCATTTGATCATGCACAGCTTAACGAGAAATCTGAAACTCACTGATTTGTACTGCGGCGCGTTTATGTGTGTGTGTGTGTGTGTGTGTGTGTGTGTGTGTGTGTGTGCGCTCTGCGTTTTCGAGGGTCGAGTAAGTGATGGGGGCACCGTGTAGAGACGGAAAGATGTGTTTAGGACATTTTTGAAGGATTAAAAAGTGCAAGAAAGTTACAGGATGTAAATATAGCGGAGAGAAAAAGTGGGGGGGGGAACTTAGGAAAGTCAAAAAGAGGAGAACTGAGTTGAAATGTTTTAAGTTTCGGCACTGTGTGCTTAGTATTTATTGCTTTGATTTGATTTTTGACATCTATTGGTTCAGTTTGAGTGTTTTTGCGTACGCGAGTGTGGTCCAGCCCTGCTGAGACGATAAGCTTTAATGGGACGTTTCCTGCTGTGTCGAGCCCGGCACAGTGCAGGGTGGAGGGCTGAAGTCCCGGTCCTGGTTCAGGTGTCTGAAACCTGGAAGACATTAGTGCCACGGGTGCTGGTATGACAGCAGCTCAGGTTGTCCAGGCCTCTCTGTGTATCTCGGTACTGCAGTGGGACGACAGTCAAAGAGGAGATATCTGATTACTGTGTGTGTGTGTGTGTGTGTGTGTGTGTGTGTGTGTGTGTGTGTGTGTGTCTGTGTGTTTGTGTCATGTGAGGGAGAGAGAATATAAAACCATTTGCTTCAACAGTGTAGCAATAGAGTAGCAAAGTGGGTGGAGTATTTATCCCCATTACAAATGTTCTTTCAAAGGTTCAGTGTTTCCCAACTTGAGTGTGAGGAGGCACATGATTGAAGGAATGTGGAAGAAGATTAAATTATGTTTTTTCTGTATTACCCCAACTTTTTCCTTTATCTCTTGAATGTTTTTGTTATACTTTCACCTCTTTAGGACTCAAAAATATCAAGAAATGAAGTAAATAGATACACAGTTATTTTACAACAAGAGAAGAAGAAATTTAAAAAAAGCTACCAACATGTAATCAGTAACAAAACACAGCGCATCATTCACCAAAAGTGGACTCATTAAACACAATTTTAAGCTCTCTGATTGGATGTTTTCTTTTACTCCAATGCTCCTTGGGAGTTGTAGTCGGCTTTTCTCCTTTAAGTCATTCACAGTTTTGACTTTCTCCACCGTCAGAGTTTCATGTTCACCTCCAAGTGCCAGTTACCGAACATCATCTATGCAACAAACGAATGGCGCCTTTACTTCCTAAACACGTCCTGCCCACAGTAACTCCTCACACTTTGCTACTCTGATTTATTTTTAAGCTTCCTGTGAAGTGCAGGGGATCCTGAAGTTCTCTGTGGGGCGTCGAACCCCAATCAGCTCCCCCAAAAATCTTCAGACCAGTAATATAAACCAGGTCAGGTTGATTTACTTTCACGTAGCAGATGTGAAATTATTTTATCGAAAATATGTTTTAAGTATTTCTGACTTAATCGCATTGTACATTTTTTGGATCAGATTTCAGTTTCAAGTTTTTTCTTTCACCAGCCCTCCACGTTGTTTGACAGACTGCTCGCGTCTGGGTGATTATCACATTTCCAGATCGACTGACTGTATGAATCATTAAATACATGAATGAACTCTTGTTTTAATGTGTGTAATAGTGTGTGTGTGTGTGTGTGTGTGTGTGCGTGTGTGAGAAAGAGAGTGAGAGTGGAATCATGACTGACAGGACAGCCGTGTCCTGACATGAAACTGTAAACACAGCTCTGAACCTGCCTGAGCTGACTCTGTGAGTGAAAAACGCGTGTTTCATCTACAATAAATAATATTTAACATCAAACTGGTGCATTTGTCCGTCTTTGTGACCCTTGATCTTAATATTCCAGGACTCAAAAGCCTGGGCTGCAACATAAGAAACAAGGTTACGATGTTAATTCCATAAGTTACTGTATATGTGACTTTCCACTACTTTGTCAGAGCTCCTTCATGACCTCATCATTATCCCCTCCTGGTTTGTTCATGTTCCAGTACAATTTGGCAAAACATAAACATCTAATAATGTAATAAATCTGTGAAACACGTTAGACACTAAACTCTGCTGTATGGAAAGTGACCCATTTGTAAAATGCGGTCCTCTCTCATGTGGAACACGGCATTTCTAAACCCCATGTTGATGCAGAAACTCCAAAACCTTACTTACGTAAAAAGTAGCAACACTACATTGTAAATATACTCTATTACAAGTAAAAGTCCTCCACTAAAAAGGCTACTCAAGTTAAAGTATATTGCAGTCAAAAGAACATATGCTCAATTCAGAATAATGGCCTTGTGAGTGTTACACTGATACATTTTATATCGTTAATGCAAAATATAATTGGCTTGTTGAGGTGGAGATAAAATGACATGAAATAACATGAAAACATAACATGACATAACATGAAACTAGTCAGTTTAGCTGTCAAATAAATGTAGGGGATTAAAAAATATCCTCCAGTATTTCTGTTTGAAATGTAGTAAAACAGTGGCATTAAATGTACTTAAATTTGTACTTAAGTGCTTGAGCAGATGTACTTAGTTATATTCCACAGCAAAAATCACATCGTCTTTGAGACTATGCAACTTTTTAAATGAGAAATACGCTTACTCTTAAATTAAACAATAAAAACACACTGTTTCTAAATACAGTCACAATGGGTGTTGCTGTGAAAGAAGTCCTGCATTCAAAATCTTACTTTACTTAAAGTAGATAAGTATAAGCAGCAACATCAGAAGTACTCATTACGCAAAATAGCCCCTTCAAGAGTGTTAAATAATATTCATACAGTATTAGAATATTACCGATGCATTAATGTGTAAACAACGTTTTATTGTTCATGTTTGAGCATCTTTTTAACAATATAATGTTTAGGTATTGTAATGTAGCAGAAAGTTAAATACTTAAGTAAAGTACAAGTACCTGAGATTTGAATAGTACTAGAGTAAATGTACCATGTTCATCCAAACTGATCCCAATAATCTGAGGAGAAACAAAACCGAGCCAATGTTTTTGGTCACAACCCAGTTTCTATAAATAAATAGCCAATTTTTCTCCTGCATGTTCGACTTTTTAACACCCCCCCCCCCCCCTGATTTAGTGTCCTCGTTAGTATGGATGAGCAGTTCTCACTTTTCCCAGGAGCTTCCTTCAGAGGTCAGGACTCTGCGTGTTGTATATGTGTGCGTGTGTGTGTGTGTGTGTGTGTGTGTGTGTGAGGTGGGGGTGTAAACTATAGACTGAATAAAATTCACTGAGGTTTCTGTTGTTGGTGACCTCACTGACTGCTATAAATAACCCCCCACCTCCTCTATACGTACTCACACAGCAGCATTATGAGCCGGTTTATTAGGGATCTTTACTCCTTCTCCTTCTCGGAGGTTAAACAGAGTTGAACCTTCTCTTCTAGAGCTAAAATAAACTAGTCCTCATGCAATAAAAGCCTATTTCATTTCACTGACACTTGAAGTAACTGCTCATTCCAAAGATTTCCTAATTCAAGATTATCAAGATTGGATAATTTTGGACTTTTGGCCTGACAAAACAAACAGTTTGAAGACATCACGTTGGGTGTTTTTTCTCTAAAGGTGATAGAAAAACAATAACAGATTAATCAATATTTAAAATAACCGTTGGTTGGAGTGATAGTAAGAATTACATCATCTTTCTATCTCTAGATGTTGTTAACAGAAAGATTTTCACAATACTTTGTGAATTACTCTTTTAAGATTTTCCCACGTGCCTTCAGTCTGTTTAATCCGCTCATGCGACATTCAATGCTTTTCTTATCTTTTCCTTGAATACCATGTACAAGAGAGTTGGTTTCAACTTGTTGCAGCACGCTTCAGCTTCACCTGTTGAGGAACCTAAAAAAAGATGTTAGACCAGAAGACACCAACCCGCCAAACAACAAAAATGGGGTAAATGTCTGGCTCTGACTTGTGGGCTGTAGGTGGAGACTGATAACCCAGAGAAGACGTGACAAAAGAACATGTTTTGGGGAGTTTTTTCTTTTATTCAAAGCAAGGGTCGAAAAGGTCAGAGGGTGTCGTATTCTGTACAGATTCAAAAGCCCCCTGAGGCAAATTTGTGATTTGTGATATTCGGCTGTATAAATGAAATGAATATCTTTGTGCATCAACTACATCAAAAACTACAATTTATTCCAAACTCATTCTAACATATTGGTTCCCAACTATTTTAGAATTAGGAGATGATTCAAATAATCTGTATTTGCTGCACAGGTTATGGTTCTTTTTCAGACTTTTCTCGTGTCCTAGTTCTCTGTATTGTTAGAGCTGGAAAAGTTTGACGTTTTCAGTTCTCTAAAAACTACTCAAAAAAAGACAAATGTAAGAACGGAACATCAGTCTGCTCGAAACTCAGACATTTGCAAGCTGTGACACGGTGAGTAAATATTGGTTCAATTTAGAAAGGTCACCTGTCACAGAAGGGTTGGCAAACCAGCGCCGTGGGGCAATAAACCAAAGACCCAATGTGTGTCTCAACTTTCTGTCATAATTAGTTTGAACACAAATTCCTTTCATAATCTACGCCAGTTATACATATCAGCTGAAATAATGACAAGTCAAGAGTAACTTTGATGTGTGTGACCGTTACAGTTTGACTCAGCAGTTGTTGGGTGTATTAAATGTGGACGGGGATGGGAATACGGGGGGACGTGGTGGTCGGCTTCACTGGGAGGTGCAGAGGGAACCACCGACTCTATAATAAGGTGGAGGCGGTGGACAAGTACAAGTATCTCAGAGTCCAGTTGATAACAGACTGGACTCGAAATCTGTTTACAGGAAAGGACAGAGCAGACTCTACTTCCTGAGGAAACTCTGGTCCTTTTAATGTTTGCGACAACATGTTGGAGATATTTGACCAGTCTGTTGTTGTTGCAAGCACAATTTTGCTGGTGCAGCAGGATCAGTTCTGGTAACCCCCTTGGAACCATTAGAGGTGGTGGTGGTTGATAAGAGGATGCTGCACAAACACGAAAAACACCTCACACCCTCTAAATGACCTCCTTCGGTGGGAAAACACAAGGTTAATGAATACATGCGAGCATCCATCTAGAATCGTGTTATTTCAGTATATGTTGTACTCCTAGTAGTGCATACAGCTTTATCATTAAAGCAGCTCCTGTGACAGGTTGAAGCAGCCACTTTCTTTCCGATATTGTGAATACTTAACCTACTTCACGATACATTCAACTAAACAAATATATATTCAGGCCAATGCAGTGTTTTTATTTGTTTATTTATTTAGCTGTACTCAACAAGGGTTGTGCTGTCTGAGTAAATGTAGTATTTCGTGGTAAGGATTCAAGAACATTTAAATTAATATTACATTATTGACTGACTCATCAATTTCTTACAATGATGTCACTAAATAGCTGTTTTAGAGAGCTAGCTAGTTAAGCTAGTTGCACGTCTACACATGTCATCACCTGGTGAAGTGTGTTCGTGTGTATGCTGAGCGGAATAGTTGGGTAAACTTTAGGACCCCGCGGAAAACTTTCTCTCCGGTGCGGCAGCCTCTGCGGCTCGTGATAGAGCGAGATCGAGAGAGAGAGAGAGAGAGAGCGAGAAGCAGGGGGGGGGGAGCGCGAGCCAGCAGCGGAGAGAAGACTCGGTAGAGCGCGAGGAGAGAGAGAGAGAGAGAGAGAGAGTGAGAGAGAGAGAGAGAGAGTGTAAGAGAGAGAGAGAGAGAGAGAGATATCGTGAGTGAACGAGAGGAGAGAGAGCGACGACCGTCAGGGTCCGTGTACCTGAGGGACGGACGACACGGTAAATATAAACGTTACATTTTAGCTCGTGAACGCACACCGGCAGCCGTTGCAGCCTTTAAGTTAAGCTAACGTTGCAGTTATCTCCCAAAGTCATCGCACGCTCCGGAGCCAAACCGTTGGTTCTGTTTTAGCAGATGATGTGCGCGTGAAAATGGAGCGGTTCGTTCACGGGGCTGGTGAACTTGGTGAGTTCTTTTGTACGGTGGGAGGGAAATCACGGCCACCGGACAAGCGTTATATTACGAGTGTGTGTTGAACGTTGTTCGGTGGCCTCCCGGTCCCCCCCCCCCCCCCGCCCAATACTAGAAGGTAACGTTAAACCGGAGCGCACCGTCCTCTTCTTCCACCAGATGCAGACAGACACATCAGCGCGCGGAACCGTCGCCTCCGCGGAGAGCGAGCGAGCGAGAGGGCGGGCGGGCGCGCGCCTGCTGAGGTTAACGAGTGCGTTCGGTCTGAAACGCGCCCCCGTGTGTGTTTTTTACCTGACCCAGTAACGGCTTACGGTCATTACAGACTTAGTCACGTGTCGGTCACCGGCTGCTCGCCCCGCGCACACCCCCGCCGGGATTATACGCAGTTTTTGTAAGTCTGTCCGGTAAAGGCCGCGTGAGGTCGCTCCCAATATTAATTGTCATAAAGCTGGGCTCCGTCAAGCTAGCAGGAGAAGTCCGACACTTCCGGTGTAGACTTTAAAGTAAAAGTGTCGGAATACACTGCGGTAAACACGTCTATGCCTGTACTGTTATCAAAGATGTAATCAGTTAAATACAAAGATATTGGAAACGTGATTGATAAATATGTCAGGTTTCAATGATATCGGTTCACAATTTAAGTTTATTTTATTGATTGGTTATATTTTGGTCTATAAACTGTCTGAAATTTGTGAGAAATAGCTGTCACAATGTCCAAAAGTCCAAAGTGAGGTCTTATTATGTCAATAATACAATAATGTGTTGTTGTATCTGACCACAACACCTTAACCCCAAAGTGTTCAATTAACTGTCACAGAAAATATTTACATTCTGAAACCAGTGAATCTGTGGATATTTAAAGAAATGGCTTAAACAATTCATCATTAACAAATATTTGCCTATTCATTTTCTGTCAAATAGATAATCCATCAATTGTTTCAGCTCAAATATGTTGTGATCACTTGTTTTTGAGATAATTTAAGTCATGTCCTCTGTATGTTTTGGGGGAATTTAGCAACCTGTGTGGAGTTTACATTATACAATCAACAAAACCTATTGTGGGTATTGATTTAGCTGATCCCATTCAATTTCACCTCTTTAAGGCCAACAATAAAAAAATAAATAGATAATTAAAGGAGTCAGTATTTCCCTATGATAATTGTATTCCTGGCAGTGTGGAGAAGGTTTTGAACCAGGATTGGGGACCTACGACTTTCAGAAAACATAGCTGAATAAATAAACTGACAAATCTCTATAATTCAACGTTTTAGAGACTTAATTGTGAAGGTTGGGGAAAGACGTGCTGCGGGGATAGGACTCATGGCCTCAGATGACCTTTCATTTTTTAGATCCTGACTATGGACCACTTGGATTTCTTTGAAAAATGTGAAAAGTAAGAGATACCAGCCTCTAAGAATGTGTTGCTTTGAAGTACAAAAAACCTGGATATCTGAAATGATAATGACCATAATTGGAATACGATTACCTTTTAGAAAGTAAATACCCAGCTCTGTTAAGAGAGTTGACTTTATTGATCTTCAGGGGAGGAGAATCTATTACAGCAGCATACAAGAAAGAAAACAGATTCAAAGCTATTTAAATTGAATAAATAAGAAAAAGAAAAGGATAAATCTGATGCTTTTATTGTGAAGACACATCACCTACTTTCCTGTCTATCACTGCCTAGCTCTCATTACCTTGACAAACCTCTGAAGCTTTTTCTCTGCGCAACCATTTCTCCTCTCACCAGTACAGGCTTCTGCTTGGGCCTTTAAAGATGGTCTAAGAAGTCAAACCACTGCTGCATGAAGACAGAAACCATTCAAATCAGTGTGAAGACTTGCTATAGGAGTGAAAGGTGTGTGGGTGACCTATATATGCAGAGCTCGTGCAGGCAGCCCCCTGTAGGGTGGGTACTGTACATTTCTGTAAAGTTTCCACCCCTGTCTTTCCGCTGGTAACGTTGGCCGGCTGCCTGCCGTCCCACCAGTAGGTGATGTAAGGCCACACAGCGTGAGGAGTGGCACACTGTACGATACATCTTGAGGAGATCCAGACATGTTGGCTGCACTCACACTGTGCTCAAATCCAAATCACTGCTGAGATCCAATTTCCTTTTAGACACACACACACACACACACACACAATATTTTAAGCTCCTTTTGAGTTCACATTGTGTTCAGTATCTGAACAAATCGCACTCTTGAAGTGACCGGCAAAAATACGGTCACAAAAACCTCACACCCGACATGCTCACGCAGAAGTAAACAAGTTTCATGGAGGCCAGGCTACTTTGATGAATGCCATCGTGTCTGGTGTTATGTGTGTGTATATATATATATATATATATATTAGTGCTGGGCAATGATTAAAATATTTAATCGCGATTAATCGCATGGATTTTTTGCGATTAATCGCTATTAATCGCATTGTTATGGCAAAGTTCAATAATTAATTCAAAAGTAGTGTATTGCGCACTTTTATTTGAAAAGTACTGCTATATGAACAAAAGGGCAATAACACTTGGTTCACGAGATGCAGGTAGCATGTTTTATACTTAATGTGAATATAATTCATACTTTGTTGGCATCTTATTCTGAAAACCGGATGTTCGTCTGAAGAAACCGGATGTTGTCTCACGTTAATGTTTCCGCCAACTTTCAAAGTCCTTCGCTCGCTCCCGATCCGTGCCGTTTAAATGCGTTTACCGTGAATTTCAGCATATAGGTGCACTAACATGTAAGTGTCTGCTCAGTTGACCACGGAGATCTGAGTGTCTGCTGACTTTACCGCAGCGATGTCCAGTAGTCTGCAACAGCTGGTGCAGCTTCTCTCTTTATTTCTGGGCCCCCCCCCCTCGACCAGAAGCGGAAGTCGCCTTTTCTCTACGGCAACACTGAAGGGACATTATATCTCTAATACAAAACGATAAACATGAGACAGTCTGACTCAAAATCACAATGCTATAGTAAATGTGGATGGCAGGTGTCCATTAAAATATAAATAATGCAACCACTGATTTATATCAGTGCTTTATTTGAATGATTGAACCTATAAAGACTGTGTCGCAGTTAGTTTGTTGTAATTTGACCAGTTGCAAATTTGCAGGTTGTTTATTTCTTATCTTATCTTGAGAAAAAATGTTTCAAAATCAATTATTAAGACCTTTATTGTTTCAGCTGATGTTAATGGTGCGTATTTCTAAACTGAACACACCACAAAGCTGCGGCAGTACCGTATGTCCCAGTTAGGGGTACTGGTTGGTTTCTTGTCCTATAATGAGCTGCCATGTGCAGTCTCCTCTGTGTTCGGTACCTAATGGGTACTTAGAGGTAACGAGATACTTACTCAAGGCAAAGAGAGTGGGAGGAACCGGCCCCACAGAAACACTCTGCCCTGGGGCCCCCAAGTGGTTTTACTCGGCCCTGCATAGTTACAGTACTTCTGCTTGATGCTGCGTTATTAGACAGTAACAGTAGAACAGGCCACAAAAAAACTGGAAACATTGTTAGCATTTAAACAGACGTGACTGTCTTTAAATGCTCTCAGCTTGTGTATAATGATGCACGTTTTGATACCCTAAAGTAAAAAAACAAGTTATTTTGGTCTATCAGAACACTTTAATCGGCTATCTTTAAATCTGCTTGTCTTTTTTGGCAGTTTGCATGCAAACAGACTCACAGCAGAGCAGCAGTATTGAATTTGACCAAGAAGTGAAGCGCCATCTTTGTTTGGCTCCACCTTCTATGTACCGTTGGGCTTTGCCGGTCGGCTCCTCAGCTTCATTTATCTGAAAGACTTCAACTGTGAACAGATACAAGCCTCAGAGCCAGATATGGGCACGTTTTGTTGAAGTGTGTTTGCTATTCGTTGGTAAACGCCCTTTAACGGTCTCAAGAGTTTACAATCTGCCAAAAAACAACAACAAATCCAAGCAGATCACAATCAGGGTTTTACAGTCAAAACCTTTTCCTACTAATGTGTTCGTGCCGTCTTTGACGAAAAACAGCATGAATGTCTTTTAGGCCTGCTCAATAGTTCTGTCACTTATTAACTTCCGTATGACAAATAACGAGTGCTGAGACAAAAGAGAGCCAAGATGAGTACAAGGTCACACATGACCCCCCCCCCCCCCCCTCTGAATACGAGCTCCAACAACCACATGTAGGCGTCATGGCAACTGTCAAAATGGAGTGACGTAATTCAAATGTGACGGTTTATTCAAACCACAGAAAATGAATATCAATTATATTCATGCCTAAAAAAAAAAAAGCCCAAATCGCTGTTAGTCAAACAAAACAAGCATTCTTAAGCCGTCGCCTTAGATTCACAGAAGTTGATTTTTCATAAAACAATTAATTAGAAAAAAAGTAGTAGACGTGTTGAAGTGGATCCTGGTACCCTTAAATAACACCTAAGGACCTTTGTGCATGCCCCCCCCCCCCTTCTCTCTCCATATGTTCCCTGTCTGTCTCTACTGTCTGCTGTCAAAAAAGGCAATAAAAAACGACACAAAAAACCTTCAGTTTCACCCTTAGAATGTTTAAAATAGGGGGTTGCTTTGCTCTAAACGGTCAGATACAGTATGATTACCAGACTGCCCAAATCAAGATAAAAAATAAATAATAAACTTGTGATTTTTACTTGTTTATACCGTCATTAAAAAACAGATCTGTGTCCTGTTTGAGGGAAAAGTTTACGAACGAAGCCATTTTGTTCAGTAATGTAACGGAGCAGTTTTATCCGGCCACATCAATCAAACACACTGACAGCCATGTTGAAAGCTGCCCTGATTCCAGCAGATTCCTTTGAGACCACCTGTGTGTGTGTGTGTGTGTGTGTGTGTGTGTGTGTGTGTGTGTGTGTGTGTGTGTGAAAGAAAAAAAGAAAGATGTCCACCACATGTATGTATGTATGTATGTCCCCTCATGCTGTGTGTGTTTCCTCTCTCTTTCTGTAGGACTGAGTGAGTGAGTGATCGTCGGACAGACAGGCTGACAGATTGAATGAAGCTGCACCTGGTGCTTCTGAGGGACTGTCCCATGTTTTGATTGGCTGCCTTTGACTACCTTTCTAAACGTGGTTCCACTGAGCTGCCCTCAGCCATGCCGTCCAACAGCCCCACCGCCGCTGAACCGCCGGAGACTCCAGAGAACGACGTCACTACTGACGTGGTGAGTCAGTGAGATGAATGATTGTTGATACACAGCGGGATGTAATGTATCACTACTACTACTACAGCTATACAGGCAGTAGTACTAGCATGACTACTAATGTAATGGACTGCTACCATTACTCCTATTAATGTTATTATTGCTGCTTCTGTTATACATATTAAATCACTACTACGGCAGCTCTAGATATTATTACAGCCACCCAGCACTTTTACTACAGCTATCATTACCACCACTACTACTTTAGCTTGCAGTTGAGAGCTTTTTTTAGCCAACACACACAGAAAATCTGGCTGGCAACATTCTGTGTGTGTGTGTGTGTGTGTGTGTGTGTGTGTGTGTGTGTGTGTGT